TCTCCGCACCGTATGATTACTTGTGCGTTCACATATATTTTTTTTTTTTCAAAATGTTCGATGCTTTAACGTTTGCTGCGATTCGGTTTGGGTTCAGTTGAGACACAGCAAAAATCTCTAAGGGCGCTTTAAAATTGAGATAAGGTTTTTGCCTCGAAAACTTTTTCCTTGGGAAAATAGAAAAAAAGATATCAAGTAAAAAATAGCAACAACAACATACTTATACATATTCAGAGAAGATATCTTTAAATACAAATAAACTCAAACCAAGCACTTACAACAACACACCGACAGATGTACATACCGACACACCAACATTCCGCCATACCGACATACCGACAGACCTATATACGGACAAACAAGCAACTGAACTAACGCAAAGGCATGCATGCGATAAGTAACTTTACAACCATAAAGTTTTTACTTTGGCAACGAAGTCCTCTTCCATGCTTAGATCCATATGTGTGTGTGCGAATCATTGCACAGGCGGCAAAGGGGAATCGTACAATATCATTCTGTGGGGTTCTAAGGCAACATAAATGAAAGTGGAGAAACTTAACTGAAGCAACTGAAGCAACTTCACTACTTCATGGCTTTATATCAGCTTCGGTTTGGCTTTCGTTTGGATTTAGCATGTTTTCATGTTTAGGTTTGTGTGTTTATGTGTATGTGTGTATGTGTGTCTGTACATGTGTGTTTGTGCATTAATGCCAACTAAACGCCCATAGGAATTTTGCCTTTTCCTTACCACGACAGCGTGTCTGGCCTGAGTGGGCGGAAGGTCGCCATAGCCTGAGACAGCTTAGTACATTTGTTTAAGAATTTTTTTATTTTGTTTGTTTTCTGCTGCAACCTTATGCCCTACGGCCGAATGCACAGAAGGGCAGAGAGCAGATAGCAGAGGAAGCAGGGTTTTTGTCTGTGCTTAAATATATTTAGTGCACAATATTGTTTGATTTGCTTCTTGGCTTAGGTTTGTTGCTTTGTTTTAAACGCCGGCTTCAATATGAAGAACTTTCATGTACGAGTAGGAAAGCGGGAAAGCGGGAGAGGCAGAGAGAGGCACGTTATTGGGCACATTTTATCTCTACGAACTCATCGCATAAGTAACACTGCGAAATTGCAGGGGCAAGTTTTTGTATTTTTTATGTGTCTTTGCTAGCAAACACAAAGTCAAACCCTAGGCGTTTGCTACAGTTTGTTCAACTTGAAAGTTTCCAGTTTATTTCCGAATCCAAATTTTTTGGTTGGCCTTGTCTTTGGTTGCCACAGAATTTCAGAGTATCAATTTTTACGTTTGGCCCTATTAGATTCTTGTTTATGTCAAAGGCTTTAGTATGCTAAATTGCAATTAAAATCCTCTTAGCAATGTTGTTGGCCAATTGTGCATTGCGTTCCGGCAGTTGCACATTTAATGTGCAGACGAAAACATTTGATTTCGATTCGAAAGTAAAAGGAATGCAGTATGAAATTTTAATATTTACCTTAAGAATTGTGCTTAATAAACTTCGACTCAAAGTTTATTAAAAAACACTTCAAACGAAACACAAATCGAAAAACAACATTCATCAGAAGCTACGAAAAGAACTGACCCTTTTAAATGCTGGGATCATCAACAAATTACGTGGACGAACGTCATCATGAATACTTTGCATTGAGAAATTAATTATTCGATATTCTCAGTTAATTATTTCAAATGTTGATAATTGAAATTCTATTCCAGTAACGCTAAATATTCTCATAATTTTACTTTTAATTAAGAATCCATATCGGCTAATTATAATTCACATTAACGACATATGAAATGTTGCCATTTTTATTGACAGTCAAGCGCCATTTAAAGCCTTTTAATCCCTCATAATAAAGTCAAATCTAGTTAAAGAGTATAAAGATATGTTTAGTAACTGATAAGGTAAATGTAGGTTCCTTATGAATATTGAAGAGAAGGGAATATTGAAAGCAGACGGTTTGGCCCGTAGAGGTGCTTCCCTAGATGTATCCCTTATTATTATAATGCAAAGTGATAATACACTGCGACGTAAAAGATGTATTGTGCCTAGATGTATCCCTATGGGTACGGGTTTATGTTCCCATGGAGATTGTAATGAGAGTTTCTTATCTTTTTTTGCTTCAGATTGCTAATGACAAATTAAAGACACGTAGATCATGTGTAACTTCCCGGTTAATACGAGTTCTTTTTTTGTCTTTTTAGTCTTTTATATTTTATTTAAAGAATGTTTTTCGGTAAAAATCGTTAATTCAAGTCAGCGGAAAGTGGAAAGTTGTCTAGGGACCTGCCACTGCAATCAATCAACCTAACTAAGTAATCATTTATTATTTTAAATAAAAAATAATTTTATTACTGCTTTATTAGGCCAATACTAGGTAGCAGCTATTGTACATCTTTTAATATTCTAAGTCATCTATTTTAAACTCTATGTTTTTTTCTTGTTATTCGAGAAACAAGCCGAGCTCCGTATTTTCGAGATACTAAAATATCGACGTTTAAAGTTGTAAATTTTGTTTGGACAAACAAGAACTAGTGATGACATCTAGTGGCAATAAGTATATGAGATTTTTACATTATTTTAATAAACGATCATGGGCATGGTCAAGAGACTTTTGTCTAACCGGAAAGTGCAATGATAAAAATCAACGAAACAAAATGATAAACAACAACTTCATATGGTATCTGGTGTTATTTATATAATAAATTTAAGAATTCACAATTCTAAACAAAAATGTCTGGACATTCAAGCTCTGTCAAACATTGATTAGTGGTAAAATTTATCAACTATCAATTTATTCTTATGATTTTGTTTTGAAAAATAAAATTCACCCAAATATTCCCAGCTCAAGCATATACAAGACTTGCATATATAAATGCAAGAATTATTTCCAAGACCACTGATGATGGGTATTTGGCACTTCTCGAAACAGCTGTATGGTCAGCCAAAAATTCAATTAATTAAAATAATATAAAATGAATTTTTGTTGTTGTAGTTCACTACTGTTCGAAAAAACCTCTTTGTTATATATTTAGTGTAAATAAATTGCAATCCTATGTATATAATAAAATAAATACTCCCCTTACTTGACAAATTATACGCGTCATTATACCTAAAACACCAAATTTTGTGTTAAATTCATTTGCATTTAATTAATGGAAAAAAAAAAAAGGAAAAAATTTATTTTAAACCGTATGGTTAATGAAATGTTTATGAATAACTCTTTTGTCCTAATAATTTGTTTCGTTTATCGCTTAAGAAATTTTTGTTCGAAAACGATTTCTCTCAAAACGCACATCACGTTGTCCTGATATTTCCTCCACTCTCGTCCTATTTTCTTTTATTTTGTTCTTGCCATAGTTCCTTTGTAAATTATATTTGTTGTGATGTATATGTATACTAAACACAGCATTATACATATCCATAATATGTATGTATTTGTTACCAAAGTGGTATACAAGATAACGTTCCAGACAACAACAACGCTATGTAAGCTATCCAGTCTTCAATACCCATCGAAAATGTGTTTTATTCCATTTTATATATATGAACGAAAATATTATCAATGATCAATAGAGTTAAGTTACATTTGATTCAAATTTAATTTTTAGTATAAAAATTTTAACGTTTATTTTATTAACATTTTTTTTAACATTATTATATAATAATATATTAAAAATATGTGGGCCAAGAAATTGAAAGTCTAGTTATAAATGCGGATATTATGCAAGACATTGGATGCATTCACCCTTCAAGACATACTCGTATATACAAAATGTCTTTGATGGCATTTTATTAAGTTGTTCGAAAATATTTGCAATGATCGCCGTTGATTTGAATCAATCGGTCGTTATGTAGTCACTATGTCTTGCAGATGTCTTCGATGACGGCTTAATCTGTTTCCAGTAGGGGAGATAATGAAGCACATACTTGTGTTACATTAGTGAAATTAGTGTTAACTAAAAACGCCACCACACAGTTTTTAGAAATAACAAACTGAGAATAAACTAAGAATATGTCACCATAAACCTCATTAGCTCAGGGTGCATATATTTTATTTTTGCTGAGTCAACACAGAACAAACTCAGTGTAACTGCCCTTGAGTTATAACAAAGAGAAATAACAACAACCAAAATGGGTCCATTGTTAATATTACAGCTTTATCTGTAGATGTGGAGTATATAGCTTTGAATCGACCTATATATATAAAGTGGACATTGTCGGAATATATAATAAAATTCATATTAAAAATCTGTTAAGTAGAAATGATGTAAAAGGTAGAACAAAACAATGTTGGCTAGGTAATGTAATGATATAATGAGTAGTGTTAAGAAATTATATTAAGTTTAGATTCACTAACATATATGTCATGTTTTATTCTCTTGCAGTAAAGTGTTGTATGTGGTATTAAATTTTAACTGCTCAGCACCAAATGACATAAAAATATATTCTTCTGTGGTACTATTTTTGTTCCACTGTAAGCTCAAAGGGCTTTTTCTTAACCTCAGGCCCTGTTGCACAGCACTCGCAAGCATATTTATTAACGCTTACACAAACCGGCGCACATGTATATGTCCGTATATGGACGCAGTTAGCTAACAAGCGCCCCTTGGTTATGTAATAAAAATGCGTTGGCCCGTGTTGCAGCACTTTTGTGCCATCGCCAGTTTTAGTGCTGCCATAAACGCTGCCGTCATGCAGTAGAGTAGAAATGCCCACAGCAAAATTTCATGGAAAAAAGTAAGAAAGAAGCCCCATTGCTCATGTAAAAAAACTGTGAAGCAAATCGTTTCTTAAGTTTGCCGATTTTCTTCAAATTCGCGAATTTTACAAAAGAATTATTAAGTGTCGTCGGGAAACATATTTGCGGGGTTATCAAATCAAACATGGATGTATGACTGCAATTTACAGTCATATATAGTCAAAGAAATATAGACTTTATAATTATTTCATTTTAATAGGTATGACAATTTATTCTTTCATTTTAGAAAAAAATGCGATATGGATCGAGAACGCGAGAGAGAGGCAAAATCTTTGGAGCCGCGAGATTTATCATCGACTGGCCGTATTTATGCTAGAAGCGATATTAAGATAAGGTAAGACACACCATATTATGTTACATGAACTATCAATTTATTCTTATGATTTTGTTTTGAATTAGTGCGTCACCAACTGTTTCTCCAACGATCTCAAACTCATCCTCGCCGACGCCCACCCCACCAGCAACAAGTACATCTGTACCGCCTATCGGATTACCAAACACTGTAGCGGTTGGGCCAGGTAGTGCATCTACAGCAGGTGCCAGTTCCTATTTGCATAGTAATCATAAACCAATCACTGGCATACCATGCGTAGCAGCAGCATCTCGTTACACAGCTCCTGTGCATATAGATGTTGGTGGCACCATCTATACCAGTTCACTCGAAACTTTGACCAAATATCCAGATTCAAAGTTGGCCAAGCTCTTTAATGGTTCCATACCCATAGTGCTGGATTCATTAAAGCAGCACTACTTTATTGATCGCGATGGTGGTATGTTTCGACATGTGCTTAATTTTATGAGGAATTCGAGACTATTGATAGCAGATGATTTTCCTGACTTAGAGCTCTTATTAGAGGAAGCACGTTATTTTGAAGTGGAACGTAAGTTCTGAGTTGTGTTTTCATTTCAATATTTTTTAATTTCACAGATAATTGTTCTATTAGCTATGATAAAGCAGCTTGAGAGTATGCGGAAGGATCGAGTACGCAATGGCAATTACCTTGTGGCACCACCGACACCACCTGCTCGCATTAAAAGCAGTCCTCGCACAACTTCGACACCCGAATATAACTACGAAGTCGTCGCCTTGCATGTATCACCTGATTTAGGTGAACGCATTATGCTGTCAGCGGAGCGCTCATTGCTCGACGAAGTTTTCCCAGAAGCCAATCAAGCAACACAGACCAGTCGGAGTGGGGTGTCCTGGAATCAGGGTGATTGGCGACAAATTATACGTTTTCCCCTTAATGGTTACTGCAAATTAAATTCCGTGCAAGTTTTGACACGTCTACTGAATGCTGGCTTTACCATTGAGGCTAGCACTGGTGGCGGTGTAGAGGGTCAACAATTCTCAGAATACTTATTAGTGCGTCGGATTCCAATGTGATAGTCTGGAGCAGAAATTTGTAAATTAAGTTAAAAAATCCACATAATTTCATAGATGAAAACCATTTTAAAATATATATAAACCATATTTCAACTAATATTATTAAGTGTATAGTTTGCGGTTATGCCGACATACGGATACCCTACCCGAGGATCTTATTGCACTTTTGCACTTTTGTTAGAATTTAAGTTTTTTGGCCTAGACCTAGATACGTTGTTGGCAGTAACTTAATTATTGGATTGATGTGGCAATGAGAAAATATAAATAATATTGATGTCCCGTGGGATTCTGTTTTGTTTGTATTGTAGGATGAAACCAAGATTTGCAATATTTCTCTACAGAGTAGATACTCAGTGCCATCAGGTTGTTTAATTTTTATGGATCACTGACACACACAGGATATGTAAAAAATTTATATTATAATCAATAAATTACCATAGGTATCAAGAAAAACGGGGTTAACAGAACCTCAGTAAAACCGGTACACACTATCGTTGGTGTCGAAGACTGCCACTTTGCTCTGAGGCTGAACTTTTTAAACCTAAAGAGAAATGGAAAATGAATTTAAAATTCTTTTGTCAATATTATGAATGCAACTGTGTGCTTTGTAAGGGGTGTAGGGTGTTGCGAATAAGCATTTTTGAATTAAATTAAACTAATTGAGAATCGCTTAAAGCGGTTCTCACTCGTCGTTAGTGTTTCACAACTTAATTAAATAATTACAGTAGATTTAAGCTCAGCTCTCGATGTTTATATATGCAATTTAGTCAGGAGAATTTGTTGTAATTTATGTTTTGTTTTACAGATAAGTAAGGTAAATTTATTTAAGATAATTTCTGAAAAGTACTGATTTAATCTGTTAAGTACATATATTATGCAATTAAAAAAAGAAAATAATTCATTTAGTTTAGAAGTGCATTAAATGTTTTATTTTGTTTTTATTATTAATTATTAATAATTAGACATATTTTTAAAACTACTTGTAGACTTTGGTTCATAGTTTAGCGATTCGATAATTAATATAAACTTAAGTTAGTGTAGTAAAATAATCGTAATTGAATTTTTATCAGTGTAAACTATCGTAATTTTTCATAAATGTTTAAAGAAAATATAAATAAATAATTTAAGAAAATTTTTGAAAATACTTTCAATAAACTATAAAAAATTAAAGTTGCAATAAATATGTTTTTTATTCTAAAAAAAAAAAAATAGCAATAAAATAAAAATAAGAAACTAAGGTATTTGGTAAAATAATTTAATTATAAATATGTTCGTTTATATATAAAATTGTTTATATACATTGAGACCATTTTACATGTTGAACCCTTGCTGCTCTTTAATAATCATGAAATTTTTACTAAAGGCGGCTTCCATATTGAATAAGCGACTTTCTACATGAGAACTAAGCGTCTCAACATATATGATCTGAAGTCATTTAATATTTTGGTCTGATCTGATAACAGATTTTAGTAGAATTAGCTAATCTAAGCAACTTTTTTCTTTACATTATAGGCTGTAGAGTTCCAAATGAAACCATTTCGGCGTAGGTGCTAAAGAAATGTTTATTAGTAAACTTAAAAAGTTATATATAACCAATTTTTAAGCGACAATTGCTTAATGTAATTCATGGGTCAACTATTGTAAGCTCCATTTTCAATTGTTTTTCATTTACAAGATTCTGTTGCAAAGATTCAGCAGGATCTTACCAAAGCTGTTCATCAAAGAGATTACTCTACAGTGCTCAGGATGGTTTGAAAAGAGGAGTGTTGTTAATAAACAGTTTTTAAGTGCTACTTGTGGCAGGTATGGAATCAATTATTACAAAATCAATTACTATAAAAAATAAGGATAATTACATTGAAACTGGTGACATCTTTTATCAATTAGATGTAATTTATACGCGTACCATTGCTTGACCATCCTTATACAATATGATCTCTTAAAAGTGGCCATTACGCTCCGCTGAGCAAATGTATTTGCAAATATCAAAAGAGGAATTATTACTCCATGAGTCCCATTTTATAACAAAGTAACATCTTAATTACACGTATGGGGCAGAACCTTTGTTCCAATGTGACCTCTGGTTACGCTAATAACCCTCCATATTTTCAATCAAATGTTATTTAATTGCACTTGTTTTGTATTAGTTTAACTTCTAAGAGTATGAACAGGGAGGTCACCTCTGATGTCACATGGTATTGGGTAGTGTACAAAGCCAAAACAATCGTAGACTTTTTTCCAAACATTTACAAATAAAATTCTTTAAGTAGCATTGCTTTAACATTCCAGTTAAATATATATATATATATATATTATCTTAAACTAATTGCTTCAAAGGTGATGTCGACTAATAGCGCTCGGAAGGATTATATAGCTTTTCAGATTCTTTGTTTAATATTTTTGTCATAGGCGCGATTTTTTGAAATAATTTCAAGCAAATGATGGTATTAGGCTATGTTTTTGTGATCTGAATGGCGAAGTTGTAGTGATTTCAAATACCCTGTGTCCATGAAGATAAATGATGAATATCAGTATTTATTAAAGCCGTTGAGCCATTATGTTTGTTATCTAGTGACTTTCTTATTACTCTACATCAAACATACTTAAAATACAATATGCATCTATATAAATAAGACACATTATTAACACCTACATATGTTATATAATATAAAGCGATGATTGCCTTTCAAGTGATAGCTTAAATATAATTCCAATACTGGGGATATGACAAAAAAAGAAATAGTGTTGGCATAAACTTCGCTGTTCTTTATTTTGGATGCACATACTTATTTAGTTAGTTGGGCATTACAGACGTAAATCTTCCTTCGCCGCTTCCAGTAATATCCGCCAGCCAGTTAACGAGCGCCGTCAAATCTTTGGCCACATGGTCCTTCCACCAAAGATGTAAACGTCTTCTACCACCTGCGAATCATACCGAATCATACACCTATATGGCCGAAATACTCTCTTCTATTCGCACGACATGAATAAGCCATCAAAGCTGCTGAATTATTATGCGTTTCACTATATCAATGTCGCGGTTTAGCTCATATATCTCATCGTTCCACCTAACTCGATACTCATTGACAACACGTAAGGGACCATAGATATTCCGAAGAAGATTCTCCTCCGCCTTCTCCTGTTTGCTGGTAACTATCAAAGCTTCTACACCAAACTGCAGGATAGGCATGAGAAGCGACTTGTAATGCATGATTTTTGTTTGTCGAGAGAGAGACCTGTGTTTCTCAATTGAAAATTTGTAGTTTTGGATACAATTTTCGATAAACTCTTGTTAAATATGTGTCAAATAACTGTAGAAGCCATACGGAGTTATAATATATAAATAATAATAAGGAGAAGTATTTCAAATTTTAGGTCATAAAGAATTATCTTAGAAACGAAGAAATGGAATACTGAATCTAACGATAGTTTATTTGAAAAACGTTGATACCACAATAAGAAATTATATGAAACGTTGTAGTTATGTAAAATACATACATACATTGTAGTTATAAATATATTTGAATAATTTTGAAGATATAAACAAAAATATTTCGCAAAGGTATTTATTTTTCAAAATTAATGTAATAGTCTCCAAAGTCTTCCACAACATCCACGGCTTTAATACTCAACAATAAATAGGCACCAGTTATTGAGTCCTATAACTCCAACTACTCATTACATTCGCTCAAATAATATGTAACGAAAGATTTGTGACATTCTTTGATCCACTATGAATACATTTCTAAGTACGACACTACAGATTCCGCACAAGCACCGATTTCGAAACTTGTAAGTCTATAAGTATGGACTCTTCCCTATATGAAACTAGAGTGAATCATTAAGTTAAGAGCATGGGCATGATAACGGTTCTTGAGACTTAACGACGGATTTGGGTTAGTTCTATATGAAAACTTGTAACAACGATAGGACACGTCAAATGTTAAAAGTAAATACAGCGATTTATACAAGAAATTCATATATTAATAGCTCCTAGGTATCGTGATTTATGTAATCTATGTATTAATTTTTATTTTTTAAGCGATATTACTTACTATTAAGGTACATTTGCATGTAGCGCACTGTAGAGGTAGTTTAAATACCAAAATTTTCCAAAATCCATTTTTAAAATCGCACCACCAGAGAAAGAAGAATCTGACGGATTATTGTAGTTTGTATTCGAACAATTCAAACTATTCGATGGAAATGCAAATATTCGTATACACTGAATAGTTCCAATAGCTCCGAATGTTATAACTATTGAGCTGTTGCAGGATATTTATTTTTCTTGATGGGTTTCAGTGCCTGCTTATAATTGTGTCGAATATCATATTACTTAGCAGTTACACATAATAAATAGCTTAATAAGGAATGAGTTTAAATAAATTCATAAATATATATATACTAGCGGACCCAACAGATGTTGTCCTGCATGATATACTAAGCGATTAGGATATTAAACAAAGTAAGAAAGGAAAGACAAATAATGTAATAATTTTGTTATTCTTTATTTTCAAATAATATCAATTTTTCTAAAAACAATTCGTAATAATCAATAATGTTTGTTTAGTTTCATCTTAATGCGAGTTGATGGACAATATTTTTAGTCAATTCTTGAGGAGTATAAATGAATAAACTTGACGGTTTTCCAACGCGAGAACACGCCACATATAATTGGCCATGTAAAAAGACCTGATTTTCTAGATCTATCCCACAAATCGACATTGTTTGACCTTGTGACTTATTAATAGTCATGGCAAATGCTAAGCGAATTGGAAATTGCAGACGTCTGAATGGAATGTGCATTCCCTATAATTTTTTTTATGACTTATCTCGTGCCGTTGCAAAGCTTAGGTGCACTTAAATTCTGCAGCATAATTATAGGTGATCCAATTATTAATCTTAAGTTATGTGGAGGCATGCCTGGTAAATCCAGCGATTTCAAAAATTCAACAGGATAGGAAATTTTAAATCTAAACTATCCTTGAATCCACTTGAACACACAAAAAATTTCATCAAAATCGGTTCAGCCGGTTAGGAGGAGTTCACTGTTAACACATGTACAGAAGAATTATATATATAAAGATATATGTATGTATACATATTGTAATTATTTGACACATGATTTGGTCATTACTTGATACCAATCAGTACTTTAATGTTCGTTTTCTATATTTATGTGTTTTTAGACTTCATGATTTTTTGAGATCACATACGAAACTATTAAATGATATATGTTATAGATTCATTAAATCGGAATAATAAAAGAATGATTTCCTAACAGTTCCTATTTTCAAAAATTATTGGGTCATGTGTTTATTTACTGCTGACTAAAACCTGTTTTCATAATCACTTTCATCGTTATTTGGTTCATTTCCATGCTAAAAAATTATAGCGCTGCTCTTTTTACGGTGGTGGATAGCAAATATTAATTAGTGCTTCTCAAACTTTACACAATGTTACTTTTAACCGGTACAAAATATATCAGACACAAACCAAAATGAGTCTAAATTGACTTTTGGGTTTATTAAATACACAAACCATTTCTGTCACGTAACTTTTGTTGAAAGACGGATTAGCGCAAACATGTGTACGTTAATCGGAATTACAGTTCCGGTTAAGTGGCCTTTAGACATCAACGCGCGATGACAAACACACGAAGTCTTCTCTCTCCATTACACATTAAATTTACCAACAATTTTTTAAACACGCCTCCAGCAAACAATGCAAAATTTGTTCACTCATCAGTAGTAAAGCAATCGCTGAAGTGTCGACAGCGACTGCTATGCGTAATTTCCTTACGAAAAATGATGTTTTACATTTAATTTATAATTTTAATTTATATATTTATATTTATATTTTTATGATTTCAATTTATATATTTATTTTTATATATA